CGGGGATACCAAATTCAGACATCGCGGCATAAAGGCAACTTCTCTTCGTGCTGTCGAAAGCGGCTTTGAAATCGACAAATAGATGGTGTGTGTCGATCCTATTCTCGCGGGTCTTTTCCAAGATTTGGCGTATTGTGAATACCTGATCTATGGTGGATTTTCCAGGCCTAAAGCCACACTGATAAGGTCCAATCAGCTCGTTGACGGTGGGCTTCAGTCTTTCGCACAATACGCTCGATAAGACCTTGTAACCTATGCTTAGAAGGCTAATTCCGCGGTAGTTGGCGCGTATGGCGGGGTCGCCTTTTTTGTGGATTGGGCAGAGCAAACTTAAATTCCAGTCGTCACTCGGACACTAGTTAACCGATTAAAAAATTATTGATGCTAATTTCAACATAATTTAAATGCCTTTTATGCAACGTATATACTATAACCAGTTTTAAAGCTAATTTTATATAAACGCCATTTAAAAAAAAAATATTTCTATTTTATTTAGTTTTTTAGTATTTCCGGACGAAAAATATAAAAAGGCATATAAATTATATACACACATGAAAGGCAAACTAATTATCCTTATTTTGACGTCATTGGTTTTTTAATAGGTTATGTTGTTCAGAAGATATTAATATTTAAAAAAATCAGAAAATTTAATTTTAACCATTGATACCTTTTTTATATTTTACTTTCGCCATATAATTTTGATAGGCTTGAAATCAGCACAAAAAGTTCTGAAGAGCCACATTTTTGGTTTTTGCATCGCTAGATTGTTGATATTCTAGACTTAGGTTCACAGAACGACCTCGGACTAATTCTGATTAGACCTGCAGTACGGGAACAGAGTAACTGTCGCCAATTTGGTTGCAGGTTTTGATTATCAAAGACACAAACCAAATCGGGTAAAAAAAAGGTTACATTCGCATAGACTCCAAATAAAAGTGGTGTTTAAGGAGAGATTAACGAAATTTTTTGTATGGTAAACTCCGAGTTTAAGAGTAGAGTTAAGCGTTAAACTCCAAAATGGCCCATAAACTCGAGTTAATGGCTCAATGAGAACGCTTTATTAAAGTATTATATAAAACTGTGTGCTGAAATACGTAAACGGTTTAAGTTTGCTGATAACAACTCAAGACTGTTCAGGTATTTTGACCCACAAATTATTCAAAAAGGTGATATGCAAACTATTTTACCGCTTCCTAAACAATATCCTTTTTTTGAGGGTTTGGAATAGTCGTTGAACAGCAAGTGGAGAAATTTGATTGTTTTTGACAAAACGAAAGTTAAGGATGACTTGGTCAAAGGTTGGATTGCGATAAAGAATGAAAAAATTTCTTTGATGAATTTATGTTCATTGAATTATCCCGATACATTTATGTGCAATTTGGCAGTCCTTCCTCATAGCACTGCTGATGCTGAAAGATTGTTTTCAGAAATGAATATAATTAAATCTTCTAAGTGAAATCGTCTTGGTGTGTTATCTGTGGAAAATCAAATTTTCACTAAAGAAATGTGTGATTTTGAAAATACTTATGTACGTTCGAAAAACCTTATACAATTTTATTTAAAATTTAAATTTGTTGATGGAAAGTTCGTGCCCATAAATATGTAAATAATAACGCATATTCTAACGTTTTTCTTATACTTGTATATATTGTACGTGTTTGAGCTAAGTACTATAAAATAATGTATGTACAAATATTTAGAGACTTAACGTTTATAAAGATTGTTTATCGGTTTTTATGCTATGTTTTTTTAAATAATGCACTTCTGTACTTATGCAATAATGCTTCATTTTGTTTCAATAATTAGTATTTGTTATATTATTGGTTATTTTTCTGATGAATAATAATTTGATACGCAATAAAATGTGTTTAATGTTTACAAAAATTCTGCCACGCTTTTTTAGAGATCTACCACAGTTTTTATTATTAATCTTCCACTCATTTGGTTTCTGAAGTGACAACACGTATGTATTCTTGCAAAAAGTTACCAGTGAAATTTAATTCAGTATTGACATTAATTTTGTTGATTATGAAAGCGTCGATTGCAGAATGTTCATCAAATCGAAAAACATTTTAATTGGCCATCGGCGGTAGTTTCTAGGAACACTGATGTAGCGCATATCCAAAGTAACGAAATTATAAAGTCAGTACACCAATACTCTCGCGGACTACTATGGTAGGCCCGCGATTTTCTCGCCAATCCACAAAAAGTGCATACGCGTGGAGTCAAGCGCGGTAATCACTCGTCGACCAATGTAATGCGGTAGGCTTTCCTGGAACCGCACAACTCTTACAAAACTGTCAAGGTATCAACAAAAATGTTACCGTGGTCTACTATAGTAGGCCGCGCGTGTACTCTAGTGTTACTTTGGAGAATTTTTTTTTATCTTTTTAATTTATCTACTGGAAATTATTCCCCGAGCCAAAAATATTGCGCCCTAAAAGGTTTCTTTTTGATAATTGGAACATTGCGCCAGCGAAATTGTTACGCTTGCGGATATAGGGTTAACGGGATATCGGCAGTGATTAGTAATTATTGGATTCGGTAATTAATTAGCAAAAATTTTGTTAAAAATTGTCTTATCGTATTTTTCAAACCAAAAATAAAATTTCGTGACAATTTTATTTATTTTGAAGATTTTTTTTAATTTTGAATTTATGGACTGGAAAGTATACCCCGAGCCAAAAATTTAGCGCCCTAAAAGGCTTTTTTTGGATAACTAGAATATATATTATTTCAAATTCCGCTGGCGAAATCGTTACGCTAGCGGACATAGGGTTAACGGGATATCAGCATTGGTTAGAGAGAGAGCTGAGATTTTTTTAATGTAAATTTTATTAGAAATATTAAAATATAGTGATTAAAACTTTATAATAATTTACCTCATTAATTTTTATCTTTTTAACGGACTTCAAAAAAAGGAGGAAGTTATCAGTTCATCGGAATATTTTTTTATGTATGTTACCGCATAACTTTGGACCACATTAACCGATTTCGATAATTCTTTTTCTTGGGCCTCAGAGAAGATCCCATGCTACTGGTTTAGATCCGATCATTGGATCATAAAGAAATTAACGGTATATCTAAATTTTTATATAAGAATTGATGTCGGTTGTGTTTGTTGCTTAAAAATTACTTGTTATTGTAACAATTGAGTTGTACCTGAGCCCTACAGAGGAATTTTTGATGCATAAAATTTATTATGAACTCATTGAAGAGTTAAAATACAAATTTGTTAGTTACATTAATTGCATGCAAATTTTAAAATTCGACTTCGTCATTACACCAAAATCGTATTTTTCTTTCATTATATTTAACCGACTTAAAAAAAAGGAGGATGTCATCTATTCGTTGGAATATTTTTTTGTTATGTACATATGTTACCGTATTACCGATTTCGATAATTCTTTTTTAAAGGAAAGAGGTGGTCCCATCCTAATTTGGTCTAGATCCGATTATTGGATCATGAAGAAATTAACGGTAGTCTTAAAGTTTTACATGAGAATTGAAGTCGGTTTTGCTTTTTGCTAAAAAGTGACTTGTTTATTTAAAGAGTAAAGGATATAGAGAGAGACACGGAGACTCAATCTGGGAACTATTTTGGGATTTTAGAGATTTTCGGGATTCTCGGGACTTATAGATAAAATAATCGACATTTTTATCGATTTTGTAATCGACATTTTTAACTATTTTGTTAGCGATATTGTTAATCGATTTTATTATCATTATTTTTATCGATTTATTGATTTTGTTATTGATATTTATCGTTTTAGTTTACGATATTTATCGATTTTGCTATCGATAATTTATAGATTTTGTTATCGATTATTCATTGATTTTGTTACCGATATTTATTGATTTTAGTATCGTTATCAATAGATCTTGTTATCGATACTTATTGATTTTGTTATCGATATTTGTCGATTTTCTTGTCGATATTAATCGATTTTGTTATCGATATTTATAGATTTTGTTATGGATTCTTTATCGGTTTTGTTATCGATATTTTTTAAAGATTTTGTTATGGATATTTTTATCGATTTTGTTATGAATATTTTTGTCGAGTTTCTAATAGATTTGGCTACCAATATTATTATCGATTTTGCTATCGAAATTTTTATCGAATTTTTCATCGACTTTGTTATCGATATTTTTATCGGTTTTGTTATCGATATTTTATTAGTTGTTAGTGATAGATATGTAGGCTTTGTCAGCACCTAGCTCCTCAATGGCTTCCCGTCTGCGAAGGACGTTGATGCTTGAAATACTATATGAGGAAACTGCCTTAATTGCCGCCTGGAATAGGTTTAATTTTGCATTGATTGACGTTTCGGTGAAGGCTAGCTCTGCAGTTATCCTCATTGCGAAAACCTCTGTTTGAAATATGCTGCAATGGTCAGGTAGCCTTACTGTCCGCCTGACGTTCAGTTTCCGGCAGTAAATCGCGGCACCCACTCCTGTAACCATTTTAGAGCCGTCCGTAAAAATGCTTAGGGATCTATGGCTAGGTTTCATTCCCTTGCGCCACCCATCCTCCTCAACCGTTGTGCAAAAAGTTCATTTCCACTTAAAGCTAGGTGCCATGAAGTCTGTGCTGCTTGTGCTTCCCGCCCCAATTAACTGATGCCCAAAGGTCCTGAAATTGAATTTCCCTATGACCGTCAATCTGCGTACAGATTTCGCAGCACGGTTTTCCTCAAATCGGCTGATGGGCGGTAACTAAGGGTTTTTTAAAGAGAAGCCATCGAAGAGGACCTCAGCGCTCCGGCAATGCACAGTGCCGCTAGGCGCTGAACCTTCTACATTGGCCCGAGGCATAAGGACTTTTTTGCGGGATTCCAGCACATCAAAGCGCCATAGAGCCGTATTGGGCTGACTATTGCTGTGTAGCAACAATGCATCAGAGCAGGTGACAAACCCCAAGTGACTTCCAGCATTCTTTTACATGCACAAAGGGCGTTACTGCTGGTGAAGCATGTAAAACTATAGGACGAGTAGGCTGTGCAAAATGTGATGTGGGATTATGTCTGAAATGTTTTGCTACTTTTCATACTAAAAATTAACATCTTCATCCGCTTTGCACGTAGAATATGCATATATTATCAATATATCTATTAAAATTTATAAACAATGTTTCTATTATTTCATATTTTAACCAAATACTGTCCTCTAACAATCCATCTGGAATACGCCCCGTGTTGCCATATGGCAACGGCCGATATCGGAAGAACTATACTACTCCCAAAGTTTTAGTCATATTTTTTCTCTTACGTTAACGCTACTTTTACCCTGTATATGGATGAAACAAAAAAATCAAAAAAAATTAATCTGGGACAATTTGGGTTAAACAATATTCTTCGAGTGTCTTCTGCAAATCGATAAATTGTTTTAGTTGATGTTTTTTTTTCCTACATAACCTCTGTGAACGCTAAGCACACCTAAAACTAAATTCTAGTACAAACTAGGAGAAGATATTAAATGATAATAATTATTTCACGTTTTTTTAAGTAAATAACTGTTTATCAGACTAACAAAAGTAAGCAGAAAAGGACGTTCACAGTTGATAAAGTTATCGAAGAAAAACCTGCCGTTTATCAAAACTACCGAAATGGATGTTAAGACACCCAAAGTTTTAATTTATTGCATAAATTTTTTCAATTGGAAATTAATTATGAATTCATGCATACGCCCATGGAAATATGTGTTGATTCAAATCGGTTTTCGTTAGTGTGGTTGTTTCCATACATAACTCGTTGCGTGTCGAGACAAAAACGTGAATAACTTTCGTCTCATTGCAAGCAGTGTTGATATTTGAGATTTTTTAATTGTACTAAATTAACGACAAAAACCCCAACTTTTTGAGCTTAATTGTACTTTTCACCATTTCCGTCAAAACATTACCTCCCGTTTTCCTTCAACCAAACATAAACCATATTTTTGTCTCCTACAGTAAGTTTACAATCTTTCAGTTCATTGTACAGATTCAGTTGGTGTAGACTTAATTTAACGTAACTTGTCATTGAGATCGCCCCAACTAGCCCATAAATTCATAGCCAGTTTTGACAGAAAGTCCCACTAAAATTCATTAAGTTTACAGTTTAGCCTAAGTATACACAAATAAATTCTTATGGCCTTATTCATAAAAAATAAAGTAGGTTTAAAGAGCTTTAGAAATTGACGTTTACATACATTTTTAAATTTTTGAACCTTATATAAAGCTACTTTATTTTTTATGAAAAAGGCCATTAAATTATATTCCACATTTTAAAAAGTAAACCCAGCGATAAAATTCTACGGTCACCCAGTTTGAGCTATATATTTATTTTTTTTTTATTTTTTTTTTCATTATTTTTTTATTAAATTATAGCTCATTGAAGAAAAATATCAACAACGGTGTTGCGGATCTTCCTCCATATAAAATAAAATGCCAACATTCCTTATATGGAAGAAGATGCGCAACAACGTCAACAACGGTATTTTTTAGACATTTAAAACTTGCACCTTTTATTGAATGTATGGCATTAAAAAATTTTTACCCAAAAAATGTCTACAAATAGTCACCTCAAATCCAAAATAACGTTACATCATCGTCGCTGAAATGCAAAAAGTCGTAACTTATAAAAAATTCAAAATTCACTTTCACACATCGTTTTATAAAAAAAAAAATTAGTTACGACTTTTTCCATTTCAGTGGCGATCTTGTTACGTTATTTTGCATTTCAGGTGACGAAATTCTGAATAAAAACTGCGAAGTTTTGATGAAAATTTGTTTATTTTTTTCAATATTTGACTCCGTGGTTTATTTCGTTTCGTTATACAATGACCTCTACTTTTATAAAAAAATTTTAATTAATTAGAAAAAATATAAAAAAATAGCCCAACCCGGGTAACAGTATAATTTTGTCGCGGGATGTATATTCAAATATGAAGACAATAACTACAAAAAATTAATACAGAAGATAGATCAGTTTATATTAGGGAAAATCATTCACATAAAATGATATCAGTAACACTAAAATGGAAGTCCACAATAGAAATTTTTAGTTTCAACGCATGAAATTTACGTAAAATTTTTTACTTTCAATCCCCGAATTATTCAATTACATACTTAACTTTCTGCTGGATCTTCATTAGGTAAACTGCACTTCCAAAGATTTTTTTTAAATAAATAGCGATGAGGGATATTTCACCCACCGGTGATAAAAAATCGCAATCACCACAACGCTCAACACTAATACGCCATTCACAATCACGTTTACTTTCAAAACTAAGATTCAGAGTTTCGTTTGTACCAAATATGAAATGTAGGTATGTCCATTTACTTAAATGCAAACGTATGGATAATCAAAGTGCTGGCAGAGATTTCATTTTTGTAAAAAAAATATTTTTGATGTTGAAATTGTATTTAAAATCAGTAAATTGTACTTTAGTATTTTTCAAACCTAATAGTACTGAAAAAAGTACAATTGTACTTAAAATATCAACACTGATTGCAAGTGACACATTTTGTCTTTTCGGAAATGATTTCCAATGAACTTAACATAAATATATGGCCAAAACGTAGCCTTAAAGCGATTAAGAAGTCAACAGCATTTTAGAGATTGTTAGTGATTATTAAAATTATAATATTTACAAACTAAAATTTATGCCGAAATAAAACTTAAAATGGGAACAAATAATTTTAAACTCTAATCGGTATGTATAAAAGCGAGAAATTGAATAGAATACAAGTAATTAAAAAAAAATAAATAGCCATAATTTCGAAATTAATTCGAATTTCGAAGAATGGTCAAATTAGTATTTTTTCATCGTTGTGAACCAAAAAAACTTTATTTACCAAAAAAAACTCGCCCTTCGAAAAATGTTGGTACGCTTCAAATATTTTGACTTCAATAGTACTAGCAAACTTATCTTTGGATTCAAATCGGAACCTTGTCGTAGAAAGTTGCCTGTTATAAACCAAAAACTATTCGGCAAGGAAAACTGATTTTTCACAATATCGGTTTCTTTCATAGATGGATGCGGATTATTCCATTCATATGGTGAAAATCGGGCCATCACGAATAAAGTAAACGAGACGAGCACGTAAGCAGCAAGTACATACAACCAAATTTCCATAGTCAAGGGATTCATGAATGAAAAAATACGAGTACACTCTAAAAAGTGCATGTAAAACTACTACTGAAAAGAGTTTATTTTTCAACCAGAATCTGTTCAAGTATACGCGCAAGATGTTCAAGATTTGATTATGAACATGAGTTGTTTAAAATATACACATAAATATACACATGAAATGTTTCAAATTACAAACATTTTGAAAGTAAAAATATATTTTTTTACAACTAATAAATACTAAGTGCCGGGGTGCACGCAGAAATATATTTTTGGGCGGAAAGAGTTTATACTTCTAAATACATATCATCAGAAAATACTGAAAATTCGCTCTTTAAAATACATTTATGCAAGTTTTATGTACAGAATGAAATAAAAAAATAAACTTTTTAAAGTTTCATAAATTGCATTTTATTTACATAAAATTTACAAAGAACTCAAACACTTTCAACCGGCTTCAAAAAAGGGGAGGTTGTCAGTTCTTCGGAGCATTTTTACTTCTTTTATTTATTTCACCGCATAACTTTGCAATGCGTGAACCGATTTTTTTACCGGAAAGATAGTATCTTAAAGGTCGTCCCGTAATTTGGTTTAGATCCGATCAGTAAATCATGAAAAAATTAACGGTTAAAGATGCACTCAACTTTCAAAAGTAACACAACATTATACAAAAGAATTTTAATATAAATAAATTAAATAATTTCATGAAATTTTTACACTTTTTTATTCATTTTCGTCGATTACTGGTTTCTCATTTTTTAATACTTCGAATAACGAAAATTTAGCTGAAATTGTATTTTTATCATGTAGCTCATTTTGGTGGAACGGATTCCAAGTTAGCAAATTAAATCTTCGAATGCTTCTTAAGTACATATCAGTGGGAAACTTTTTTAGGCTGTAAAGTGTAAAAAGCAACAGTAAGTGAGTATGCATTGCATATTTTTAGGACAATGTTTTCATTCGCAATTAAACTTTAAAGAGCTCTCAAGAGAAAAGAAAAATTCTTACAAAATGACGCACAAGAAATGGAAAAGAAATTGTTTCCATCAAAATTTCTTAAATCATAATAAATTTAACCCCAAAACCCACCCCTTGTGTGCGCTACGTGAAAAATTTGATATGTAAAAGTAAACAGACANAAACATTTTATGTGTAAACTATGAAAATGTGAACAATAAATGTCTAAAACTCAAAAAACAAATTTGAAATTTGTTCTACACCACACACACTCTAAAAAGTGCATGTAAAACTACTACTGAAAAGTGTTTATTTTTCAGCAAAAATCTGTTCAAGTATACGCACAAGATGTTCAAGATTTGATTTTGAACATGAGTTGTTTAAAATGTACACATGAAATGTTTAAAATTGCAAACATTTTGAAAGTAAAAATATATTTTTTTTACCAATAATAAATGCTAAGTGCCAGGGGCGCACGCAGGAATATATTTTTGGGGGGAAAGGGTTTATACTTCTAAATATATATCATCAGAAAATACTGAAAATTCGCTGTTTAAAATACATTTATGCAAGCTTTATGTACAGTATGAAATAAATAAATACAACTTTTTAAAGTTTTATCAATTGCATTTTATTTACATAAAATTTACAAAGACCTCAGACATTTTCAACCGGCTTCAAAAAAGTGGAGGTTATCAATTCCTCGGAGTATTTTTACTTTTTTTATTTATTCCACCGCATAACTTTGCACCGCGTGAACCGATTCCAATAATTCTTTTTTTTTGGTTTAGATCCGATCATTAAATCATGAACCAATTAACGGTTAAAGATGAACTCAACTTTCCAAAGTAAAACAAAATTTTACAAAAGAATTTTAATATAATAATAATAATAGATTGGCGCTTACACATATGTTAGTGTTTGGCCGAGCTTCTCCTCCGATTTGTGGCGTGCGCCTTGATGTTGTCACACAAAGCGGAGGGACCTACAGTTTTACGCCGACTCCGAACGGAGATTGTATTTTTATGAGAAGCTGTTTTTCAAGGCAGAAATACACTCGGAGGTTTGCCATTGCCTGCCGAGGGACGACCGCTGTTAAGAAAAAAACCCGTTTTCTATATTTTTTTGATGTTGCTTTGACTAGGGCTTGAACCCAGGCATTGTGGAGTGGAAGCGCGCACTGCTTACCACTACACCACAGCGGCCGATTTTAATATAAACAAATTAAATAATTTCACCAAATTTTTACACTTTTTTATTCATTTTCGTCGATTTCTGGTTTCTCATTTTTTAATACTTCGAGTAACGGACATTTAACTGAACTTGTATTTTTATCATGTAGCTCATTTTGGTAGAACAAATTCGAAGTTAGCAAATTAAATCTTCGAATGCTTATTAAGTACATCAGTGGTAAACTTTTTTAGTCTGTAAAGTGTAAAAAGCAACAGTAAGTGAGTATGGATTGCATATTTTTAGGACAATGTTTTCATTCGCAGTTAAACTTTAATCTCAAGAAAAAAGAAAACTTTTTACAAAATGACGCACGAAAAATGGAAAACAATTTTTTTTCTATCAAAATTTCTTAAATCCTAACAAATTTAACCCCAAAACCCACCCCTTGTATGCGCTACGTGACAAATTTGATATGTAAAAGTAAACAGACAGTGTTTAATTTTGCACACACTAGGAGAGGAAACTGGTTACCTATCTTAATATGCGCAAATTTAAACAACAATTTTTTAGAGTGCGTTTGATAAGTAAAAGTAAGCAAGCAGTGTGTAAATTTGCATTCATTAAGAGAGGAAACTGGTTACTTATCTTAATATGCGCAAATTTAAACAACAATTTTTTAGAGTGCGTTTGATAAGTAAAAGTAAGCAAGCAGTGTGTAAATTTGCATTCATTAAGAGAGGAAACTGGTTACCTATCTTAATATGCGCAAATTTAAACAAAAATTTTTTAGAGTGTAGGCTGACTGGTAGGAAGTGCCTGGGGCGCACCCAGGAATATATTTTGGGGGGAAGGGGCTTATACTTTTAAATATATATCATCAGAAATTACTGAAAATTCGCTTCAGATAATTCACTCTTTAAAACACATTTAAGCAAGTTTTATGTACAGTATCTAATAAATAAATAACCTTTTTAAAGTTTCATAAATTGCATTTTATTTACATAAAATTTACAAAGTACTCAAACATTTTCAACCGGCTTCAAAAAAGGGGAGGTTACCAATTGTTCGGAGTATTTTTCTTCTTTTATGTATGCCACCGCATAACTCTGGACCGCGTGTACCGATTCCAATAATTCTATTTTTTTCTCGGAAAGATGGTACCTTAAGGGTCGTCCCGTAATCCGATCATTAAATCATGAAAAAATTAACGGTATTCCTAAGTTTGTATATGAGAATTGAAGCCGGTTTTGCTTTTTGCTTAAACATTACTTGTTTAATAAAAAGTTCTATAAACACAAGAAGCACTCAACTTTCAAAAGTACAAAAAACACAATTTTACAAAAAAATTTTAATATAAATAAATTTAATAATTCCATGAAATTTTTACACTTTTGTGTTCATTTTCGTAGATTTCTGGTTTCTCATTCTTAATACTTCGAATACCGAAAATTTAACTGAACTCGTATTTTTATCATGTAGCTCATTTTGGCCGAACGAATTCGAAGTTAGCAAATTAAATCTTCGAATGCTTGTTAAGTACATATCAGTGGGAAACTTTTTCAGGCTGTAAAGTGTAAAAAGCAACAGTAAGTGAGTATGCATTGCATATTTTTAGGACAATGTTTTCATTCGCAGTTAAACTTTAAAGAGCTCTCGAGAAAAACGAAAAATTTTTACAAAAAGACGCACAAGAAATGGAAAAAAAATTTGAACCCCAAAACCCACCCCTTGTGTGCTAATTACTCAACTTTAAACACTTTGTGTGTAGTTTTTCTCTACGTGACAAATTTGATATGTAAAAGTAAACAGCCAGTGTTTAATTTTGCAAACGCTACACTCTAAAAAGTGCATGTAAAATTACTACTGAAAAGTGTTTGTTTTTCAACCAGAATCTGTTCAAGTATACGCACAAGATGTTCAAGATTTGATTTTGAACATGAGTTGTTTAAAATATACACATGAAATGTTTAAAATTACAAACATTTTGAAAGTAAAAATATATTTTTTACAAATAATAAATACTAAGTGCCAGGGGCGCACGCAGGAATATATTTTTGGGGGGAAAGGTTTTATGTGTAAACTATGAAACATGTGAACAATAAATGTTTAAAACTAAAAAACAAATTTGAAATTTGTTCTACGCCTCACATATGTATAAGTAAAA